ATATATGTGTCTTTCTTTTCCACAAATAATATTAGATTAAAGTTTCGGTAAAAAATGTTTCATTTCAGGTTATTTTTTTACCATACAATTTTTTGAAAAAGCCACTTTTTTATGCTATGAAAAAGCCAGCCTTTTTAATTAGCTTTTTTTAAAACTAAATAACTGTTTTGCGTTTTAACAACTGCATTGTTTTTCGTAATGCTTCATTGATCATATTCTATTGAAATTAATTGTTTGAATGACTTTTCCTGATGTCAAAAAACGTTGGTGCGTTTAAATTTTAAAAAATATATTCAAATATATTAGTAAGTTTTTAATAAAACTTAAATAATTTTTTTTTAATTAATAAAATTTTTTTTTTTTCAAACTTCCTAATATTCTGTCAAAACTTATTTTGTATTATTATATTTACTCATATAACACAAGCATCGTTAATATATGTGAAATGCCTTATAATCACTATGATTCACAGATAACATTTATCGTTAAGATGTAGTCAAAACAATTTGTTCTTTTGACTAGTGTATATAAATTTTTTTTTATAAACGTTTGACTATTTTAATACTTTTGTTTTTTTCATTCTCATTTAATATTTTTTATTTTTAAAAAAAACACATGTCTTCACAAGTATTAACTACGAAAAGCAACATATTTTTTTAATAATGTAGTGAAACTATTATTAAAGCTGTTTTATCATTTGTTTTATCATTGATTATCATGGAATTATATAACTTAAAGTACAATTTGATTTTTAGAAGTCTAGTTAACAAATTATTACTCTTAAAAGACTTGTTAGTTTTAGAAAAAACGTTACGGCTCATTCATAGCACAGTGTGGCTCTTTCATTGATAAGATGTTATAAAAGAGCTGATTTCTCTCTTTTTTTAAAATAGGTGTATGACAGGTTATTAGCATTGTTATCCAATTTATTTTAATTTTATAATATCACCCAATAACATAACTGTTTAATTAAAGAAATTTTTTTTTTAATTAATCAAAATTGACTTTTTTTCATACCCCCCTAAAACTGGCTCTTTCATAAACACTATCCCCTATGTACTTTTGTACTTATTTGTAATAATAGTTGGTTTTTAAACTTAGAAAGTAAAAGTTTTGTATATTTCTTATAGAATTAGATGAAGATGATGAAAGTTTTTGTCAGCAATATATAGAAAATCTTGCTTCAAATGGTTTATCAAATTTATGTAAGTGAATTTAACATTATGTTGGGTTTTTTGAATTTATTTATAATTATAAATTTTGTTGATCTTATACTAGCTGTGATCAAATTTATTTGCATAAAAATTTTTTTTTTTTTCAGTTATCATATTACAAAGTTTGACAACACTTCAAATATTATTATAATATCTAGTCCTAAGAAATAGGTTTAATATTTAGCTATGCTGACTGCCAACCTAAAGCTGTTTGAGATTTTCAATTTTTTGCTGACTTTGTTTCTATGTTGTTACGGCAAAATCTTTGTATTGAAAATCTTGTGTCGACCTGAAGCGAACTATTTTAATATCAAGCTTAAATTGTATAGACATAAAATGACTGTCAACCTGGTTATATAAAAAGTTAACAACACCAGAGTTTATATAAACTAAAAATAATAAATGCAAATCAGGCAAAAAGATCCCTTATTTAAAATGGTTGTCAACTAGAATCTAAATTTTTTTATTCTTTTCAATCTTTTGGAAGATTTTCTTAATAGTTTTTCTATTTAGCGTTTGTCTTAAAGACGCAGTGGGTTACAAATTGATCCACAAAACTTCAAATGAGGGCAGACTAGAACTGAAAATAATTTTTTAAACAAATATAAATCTGCATAAGTTGAAATTTTTATTATTTGTGTTGCATCATTAACCACAACACAAAAAATGATGATGAAATTTTTAGTTTCTGTTTCTTTTGATAATAGGTTAGATATAGTCAATTCATTAAATTAAATCAAGATATAATATAGTCATTTCATTTGTTTAAATCAAGTAAAAAATATAGTTAAAAAATTAACAACTAAAAGTAGTCTTTCAGTTTAATACTGATTTTTTCTTTTTGTAGTTTAGCTGGTCAACATTAATTGGCTAGGATTTTTTTTAAACTGTTGAAATAGAACATGTTCACTTGTTATTTTTACATGTGTTAATAATAATGTTAATATTATATAATTATTAAAAACTAGCTAAAAATTAATGTAATTTACAAAAAACTAATTTAAGACATTTTCAAAAAAAAAATTTTAATGAACTTTTGAACAATTAAACTTAAAAATAAAAACTCTATATTAACACAAAAACTTTCAAAAACTTAATCATGCAAATTAATCATGTCAATCTAAACATGAATAATAAATTAATTTTATAAAAACAATTTTATATTATTCGTTTTAGAATTATATTAATAATATATTGTAACTTGAAAAGTGCGATTGTAACTTAAAAATTTAAGTTTTCTTTCAACTTATTCAATTCAAACATATTAGATTAACTAAAATAATTTAGTTATAATAAAAATAAAAAGATATAAAGTTCTAATGACTAAAATTTCAAAACAAATTTTTACTTTTACTTGTTGGTTTTTTGTTTGTTAAAATTAATTAATTAGTTTAAATTATTTAATAAACTTTTTTTAGTTGAAATTTTTTTACTTAAAAACTTTTTAGCTAAAATGCATATAAGTATAAAAAATACACACTAGCATCTCAATTGGTTGGTGTACGCACAATAAATGTACAAAAATTTGTATAAATTCTAATTTTCATAAAACATCAGAGTAGGTTGCTACCATTCTGGTAAAATTTGTTTTAAAAACACATGTTGATTTTGATCTTAATTCTCTGAAACATTTTGTTTATACACTGACAATTTTTGTATATTCACTTTCTTTTTGAAATCTAAACTTTTTTTTTTTTCACTTATCACTTTCTAAATCATTTTCATCATCAAATAATAATATTGCAAATAAACAAATAATAATTTAATAATGCAAATTATTATTTGATTAATATGCGTACGAAAGCATTCTGTGACAAGAAAAGTGTATTGACATAAGGTTTTAGTGTATCTGCCCAGATACCAATACATTAAAAGAGTATCTTACTGTTTTGTTTGATAAACACAGCATGGAAGAAATCACCTTTTATCAGTAGCAAAAAGCTAACAAAAAACATGAGTTCCAATAACTCTTCCTGTGTATGAATTAATTTTGATTTTGAGACCATTATTATATAGTCAAAAATTAAGCAGCATATTTGCAGCATCTAAAAATAACATTACTAAGTAATCATTTTTTAATATTACTAGACTTAGCTGAAAATTATAGTTTTTAGTTCAAGATGCAGTACAAGGTTTCTATTGGAACAACAGTTAAGCAACATTGCATCCTCATGTTTTTTAGTATATGGAAGAAAATAAAATAAAAAGTGTTTGTATCATTTCAGATCATTTGCAACGCAATACAAACTCAGTTCATTGTTTCATTTATGAAGTAATAAACCCATTTAAAGAGTTAACGCCATACTTTACCCATTACATTTATTTTAGTGATGGTGCAGATTCACAATGCAAAAAATAAAAAAAACATCTAACTTATATCACCATAAACAAGATCGTAAAGTATCTGCAGAATGGCATTTTTTTGCTACATCACATGGAAAGAGTGCTTGTGACAGCTATCAATTCACCTGAGAAAATGTATGATTGGTATAGACAAAATATCAAAGGAATACATTTTCAATACATTTCAAATGATGCAGTTGTATCATAAAGTTTAAATTAGAAGAATATAATGCTACTTGTTCAACAATTCCAAGAACAAGAAGCCATCATTGTTTTATACCACAATCATTAACTACTTTACAGATGAAACGGGTGTCATTTTATAATATTTTTACTAATGTAAATGTTTCTACAATGCAGAATATGGTTCCGATTTGCTCCTCTTTCTCCATGAATTAATATAGCGTGTGTTTATGATATAAAATGGTTTTTAGGCAATGTTGTGGAAATATTTGAAAATATCAAGATTTTTTTTTATCAAGTTCATGAAGCAGTCTATTTCCTTAAACACTTTTACTTGGCCATCTAAAGTATATATTTGCTGGGTTACAATAATGCACATTTTATGCAAAACTTCATTTTTTAAAAGCTCAATCAACAACTGGTAGTTACTATAATCTATCAGCTCGATAAAAAACTGAGATGTTACATTTGTACAATCACATAAGTAACATAAATAACATAGCAAAATTATTAAAAATTTATTTTAAATATTTATTTAAAAGATTCTCTTATAACTCTAATAACTTGGTATAAGTTGTAATCTAAATTTAAACAATGATAATCAAATAAGTCTTCAAATAATGGGGAGGGTTGGAGTAGTGAATGGATTAGAAAAAATGTTAAGAAATTTATAGTCATGATATTAAATATTAGGTAAATTAGAATGAAGGTCTTTCTTTTCATTTTTACCTAATAAGCTACTTATAAACTTTATATATTAAAAACTAAATGTTGCTATTAAATGTTGAACTCTTGGTTTGTGTATAAAGATACTTCATGCATTACAATTTTTTTCTAAGTTCTGGGCAAAAATGTGCATGTTAAAAAGTAAATGAACAAGGGGGAGGGGAGCATGGAGGAGCTAGGGGTATTTAAAAACTGAGTTTAATTCAGGCTTAATTTAAGACTTATTTCTAGTACTGATTATGAAATGCTTTTAAATTTTTACTCTGTATTGCAATATATAATACAGAAGTACAACAATAACTCTATTTTTATTGGTTTTAATACAAATTTAATTGTTCTGATTTTGTAACTTCCCCATGAGTAGTGTTTTTTTTTCTGAAATTTTTCTTCTGAAATTTTCTGTAATAAAGTGTATTAAATCAGTAGGAAAAAAATCTTATTAAAACCAGTGTTGTTCCTAAATTACTGGTGGTGTAAATTGGAAGCACATTTTCACCAGTAGCACAAGTTTTTACGACAGTCATTTATAAAATTAACCTTTTATATTTGCAAACAATTTTTTAGGTTTTTAGGTAGCCATTATGGGTAAAATGTGAACTTTTGAAAATTCAATGTCAAAGTTTTACTAAAGTAAGTCTAGAGTTGTATACAATAAAAAAAACTAGAATGTTTTCTGAAATTTTGTTTTTAATATATAGAGCTTCAAAGTATAAAAAACATAAACAAAAAAACAAACAAACAAAACATGTTTTTTGCTACCAAAGTTTTTATTTTTGAAAAATCAAAATTTTATATGAACATATCTTATGTACCACAAAAAATTTTATGCTGAAATTTTAAATAGTTGCTTTTCTTATTGATATAAACCAACCCATTAAGTTTTTTGATTTTAAAATCAGAGATGTTTCATGTTGAAATCTTAAAGTTTCAGTCCATTTGGCATGGACCCTTTAGCCTGATTTTTATGCTATTATTCGAACTGTTTATTTCTAATTTTTTACATTTTACTTTTTTGTAAGCTATTTTTCTACTTCTTTTATTTCTTATCACAACTATCGCAACCCTTTGACTCTGAAGCTCTCTGACTTTAATACTAAAAAAGACCTAAAAAGTCAAGGTCAAACCATTGTAAATAATGCTGCAAGTAAAGAAGTGGTGTAAAGTTGTGTTGTAAAGAAATGGTGATCAAACTACTGTACAACTACTTGATTTATAAAAATTATCTTTTAAAATAATATATATTCTTTAAACTAATAAGTTGACTAATTTTAGCTTGATGATAAAAATTTTAAAAAGTTATACAGGTTTTACAAGCTGTGCACAAAAGTTTATAATGTAGATGATATTATGGTATGATATATTTAGATGGCAAGTTGATTCAATTTTTGTAATTTCATAAATATATAGACATCTACCTAGCTCTATTTTCAAAAATATAAGTTGATGAATATTTAAAAATAATTTTTTTACATTTATGAAAAGTGAAATATAATAGCAATCTATATTTAAAAAATTTTTTAAAAGCATTGAAAGATAAAATATTTATATATTTGATGTAGTTGGTGCACATGTTATACTGTATATCTTGTACAAATTATTCTCAAATTAAATTAGTACATTTATATTAACATTATCCTGGCTTGTACAAACCCTGTCTGTACATTTGTGTTAACATTATCCCGGCTTGTGCAATCCCTGTCTGTACATTTGTGTTAACATTATCCCGGCTTGTGCAATCCCTGTCTGTACATTTGTGTTAACATTATCCCGGCTTGTGCGACCCTGTCTGTACATTTGTGTTAACATTATCCCGGCTTGTGCAATCCCTGTCTCTATTACCACTTGAGTATTTTATGTTTATTGCTTTTTTTTTATTAAGCAAGTATTCCAGAAAGCATAAATCAAGAACGAAAAAATGTTACAAAGAAGACACAATCTCTTGCATTTGAAAATTATCAAACATTCATTCAAGCTGCCGAATGCTCCTCAAAAGTTTATAATGATGTACATAAATATATATTTTAATAAAAATATTTGATGTTAGCTTTTGTAAATATTTCTAATTATAAAGCTTTGTGAATCTTTTCATTGATTTAATATTGGTTTTATTTCATCTTTAGTTTAATATTATGGAAAGACATTTGAACTCAACATTGGAAAAATTACCCCAATTTATAGAAAAGCTTAACTCTTTTGAAAAGTCTTCATTAAACATTAACTTATGGTAAAAGATTTTTTATATACATAGTTTGTTATGGCTCTTCTTTTTATTTTTAATAAATTTAGTTTCTATAAAATTTCTTACACAAAAAAGATTTTCCCAACAACATATTTATATTATTGGGCAAATCATTTATAATAAATGTTTAAAAGTTTAAATAAATCAAAATTACTCTGGAATTTTTTTTTACTGCAAAATTATTTTAATTACATATAATGACATATAGTTTGTTATAATTTCGTTGAAAAAGTTTTGAATTTCTTTTAGACTCTTTTTATTGTTATTCTACTTTAAATAGTTTTAATAATTTAAATGTAATTTTTTTATTATGCAGTCGAAAACAAAATTCATTGGTGTTATCAAAACATACACAGCTTCTTGAAATATTAGAAGTCCCTCAGGTACCTTTCAACTTTTTGTAAATTGTTATGTTCTACTTATTTCTCAATCAATATATATATGTAAACATTAAAAAGATAATAATATATGTAAACATTAAAAAGATAATAATATATGTAAACATTAAAAAGATAATAAAAACATTCAGAATTTTTTTCAAATGATAAAAAACATTCCAGTCTATTAAGATGTATTTTTTGTGGTTTTTTAAAAGACGATTAAATTTAATTAGTTTCTTCATTTTTAAATTTAATGGTTTTTACATAAAATGTACTTAATATATATATATATATATATATATATATATATATATATATATATATATATATATATATATATATATATATATACACTTACATATAGGTATTCATATATGTGTGTATATATATATATATATATATATATATATATATATATATATATATATATATATATATATATATATATATATATATATATATATATAAGCTATACCGTTTTTTTCAAAAAAGAAGAAGAAAAAACGAAGAATGATGAATAAAACGATTGCTTCCCCATCTCAAACCCTCAGTCGATGCAGCAGCACTCCACTGCGAGTCAGGCTATTTGTCAGTCGATGTATGTACTGAAGCCCCCAGCAGCAGGCTATTTCAGTATGACGTCAAATTGCTTACCTTAGTACGCAATACTATTTGTATATATATATATATATATATATATATATATATATATATATATATATATATATATATATATATATATATATATATATACATATATATTAATATATATACTGATATATATACTGATATATATATATATATATATATATATATATATATATATATATATATATATATATACATTTATGTTAATGTTTAAATGAATATATATATATATATATATATATATATATATATATATATATATATATATATATATATATATATATATATATATATGCATACATATACATATATATAAATTGATTAGCAATCAGTTAACAAACGGTTGTAAAAAAACCAGGTAACAAAAGAAAAGTTTCAAGCTATGTTTGGTAAATATGCTAGGTATTCCAAACTATTATAAGTAAAATATGAGTAAAATCAATACAAATATTAAATTTTTTTTAAACGCGAAGGCCTTTTATATGTTTTTAATTAGCATATTTAATTATAGTTTAATTTACATGGATGAAGCACTGAATATATTGTGATTGGATTTTAAGTATGAGCCATAAGTTGGATAATATTTTACCTCAAATTAACAACATATTTCATCGGCTGTCGAAAATTTTTGTATTAAATTTTTTTATGCATAATAAAAACCAAAAACTATTATTTATAGTTAAGTTCTGAAAAGTAAACATAACTTTTCTATTAATGCTGATCTCATGAAGCAAGCTACTTTTAAGCTAAGATTTAAGCACCTTAGCAAGATCTTCTTAACAATGTTGTTATCATAATCGAGACTATCGAAAACTTTAATTAATGAGGCGGTAGCCTTACAAAACTTAAACAAACAAGGCAGTGGCTTTTAAAATATTAAAAAACGAGGCAGTAGCTTTATAAAACTTTAACAAATAAGACAGTGGCCTTATAAAACTTTAAAAACAAGGCAGTGGTTTTATAAAACTTTAAGAAACAAAGCTTTTGTTTTTGAATTAAATGATGAGAAAGGATTGTTAGAACAAATGTATTTGCTTTTTTTTTTTTTTTTTTTTTTTTTGTTGAAGGTATCTTAATAGTATGTGTCAAAGTGTTATATTCCTCTCAGTAGTAAGCGACCAGGATTGATATTTGACCGAGGCCAGGTTGGATAATATGTAGCTGTGGCTGGGTTTGTATAAACATTTATGCATCCTAAAGTTTTTTTTTTTATTCAAAATTCATGTTATATTTTGTATATATATGCATATATAATTATCATTATGATCAACATGATCATCATCATCATCATCATCATCATCATCATCATTATCTAATTATCTTCTCTTTCAGCAAATACTACACTATATAATTTTTAAAGTCTATATAAATATGAAATGATATTGTATGCCAGTATCTAAATAAATAGCAAACATATTTATATCCATAATATGTATGCATAAAGTGCATCTTGGAAGCTTTTATTCCTTCTGGACTTAAATTTTAGAAGCTTTTATTTATACTCTTCAATATTATGTCAAGCTTCATTCTACTCCACATTTTTCACCATTTTTGAGCAGTTGATTAAATAAACATTAATCATTTTTTTCATCTTTTTTACAAGAACATCTTAAGAACAAATGTCTTTATTCTCTTAATAACAAATATCCTTTTATTATTCAAAGAAACCAATGTAAAAAGGTGGCCATACTCTTTCTGCCAGTTAAACAGATTAACCCATTGTTAAACATCCAAATCACTCTGGCTTCTAATGCTAAAGTTAATTCTCAATTAAACACCTCTACAGTTTGTGCTTCCGACAAGATTTCCATTATAGTCTTAAAGAAGTTTTCTCCAGAACTCGCTTCAATTTAGGCTAAATTTTTAAAAAGTGCTAAATAATTGGTTCAAATTTTTCAAAACTCTAGAAAACACTTTGACCTCTCCAACTATCCTACGATTATTCTTTACTCTGTTATTAGTTTCTTTATATAAAGGTTTTAAGATTATTAAAATATTTCCTTCTAACTGCAGTATTAAAGTTATTCTTGAAGGCCTTTACTCCACTTTATTTTAAGTAACTTTAAAGGTACCACAAGGTTCTACCTTTGCTCCTGTATTGTTTCTTATCTACAATATTGATCTTTATAAAAATTTTACATCAAGTGGCTCTATTTGCTTAAGACTCGACTTTAATCTTGAGTTGTCAGCAAATAGAGCCAAGCATCCCATTTTTAATCTAACCTCTCTTCTGTAACAGCCTAAGGCTTGCTGTGGCTTATGGATTTCAATTCTGGACTTACAATCCACAATTTTTGTTAGACAACAAAACTCAATAATTTATTGCAAAAAATTTTGCAATAATGTTGGCATTCCTATATTGACAAATAACAACCCTCTAAGAGGATTGAAACATTCCAAATAGTTATAGCTATAGGTTATGTTGTTACTTTGAACAAAATGGAGTTTGCAAGTATATGGAAAGTTGTAAATTTTGTCATAATAATACGGTTGTTAATTTTGAATCAAAAGATTTTGAGCAAATAGTTGATATCTGCCAAGCTTCAGCCACTCTCATTGTTGTAAGGTTGCATTTATTTCTTTTTTTACAAATACCATCATGGTCAATGCTCAAACAAACTTTCATCTCTATTACGATAAACCAAAACTCATTCTTGCTTGTTTTTTATTCAACAAGTTGCATCTTTTTACTGTATCTGTCCCTTCATGCTATAAAGACTTTTATTAATCAAGTTTTTTTTCTTGCTCATCAAAAAAACCTAATAACTGTTAGCCATCTTCATATTTTTCATTTATATACAACTGGCAACTTTTCAAGTCTTCAGTTAACCATTTTCTTGTATTTTTACTTGTTCTCTATTTTTAAGTAACTCATAACTTTATAGTGGTTGCTTATAATCTTGTTGGAAGTAAATTAGAATTATGAAAATATATAAGTATATGCCAGTATTTAATAAATAGTAAATGTAAGCATAAAATTTTGTTATATAAAGTATTATAATTTCTTTTCTAGCCCTGGCTATCAACACATGCTAAATCTTATAGTTTTGCAAGGCCAAGGCTGGGCTTGAAAGAGTCTTATTTTTAGCCAGGGACTGGGCCAGGGCCCTGGTCACTTATTGTCTTCTCAGTATCTTTATCTTCTCATCTCTAATAATTTTTAGTTGTATAATTATGTTAAGTGATGAATCGAAAGAATCTGATGTTCAAAAAAATGAAATTTTTCTTTAATATTGACAAAGAATATTGGCAAATTAATGCTTTATTACAGTAAAATTGTACAAATTCAGAAAAAAAAGTTTTAAAGTTGAAGCACTGTGTTTGAAGTGTGTGTGAAGCACCAGTATTGCACAAATGCAGAAAAAAGAGTTTTAAAGTTAATTATTAAATCAACATCGAATATTGAATCAAATATATTATTAAATACTATAATATCGACTTGTTAGATTGATGCCTACAGCCTTAAAAACTTTATTTGCTATTTCAAATAAATTGAAAACGGAAAAACAAACATTTAATTTAAGTTCTATGTAAAATAGTTAAAAGAAATAGTCTAAATGAAATAATTAAAATTAAATACATTGACATTGACTATAGGTTTTGGTAAAGGCAGCAATAATTTTTTTTTTTTTTTTTTTTGAAAAAACTGTATGGAAAAAAGTAAACAAAAAAGTCAGCAAACCTATATCTATAATCAGTTCTCAAAGAAAAAAAAAGTAACAGGATGATTTTCGATAAATTAAAAATACCACTCTGCCTAATCATTGTTATATATAGAGATTTATAAAAAGGTGGTGGGATGATTTATACTTATTAAATAGGTGATGGCATCTGGCATCCCGCCCCACTTTGACCACTGTCTATAATATTAATGTATTGATACCCTCATTGTTAGGTATATTAAAAAATCCTTGTTGGTTTTTAATATACTTGATAACATTATAGTATATAGACACTATTTTTTACAATAGCTTATGAACACTTGTGTTCGAAATGGTAACTATGAAGAAGCACTGGATCTTATGAGATTTGTTCGGGGCCTGGAGAAAAAGTTTTTTTCCATTCGAATTCTAGTGGTAAATTATATTTTCTTTGCTGATGAAGTATATATTTTTTTGAAAATTTTTACTAAAAAATACATATATTTTTAAAAATATATACTATAAGATATAAAATAGTTCTAAAATGAAGATTTTAAATTTATATTATGTACGATATAAAGCACTTATTTTAAAATGATAAAATTAATTAGCAACTAATTTATTAATATATTTCTTATTAAACATTAAATAAATTTAAATAGTTATTTAAATTTATTTTATGCTTTTTTTTTTTTTTTTTTTTTTGTAAAATTAACGGAATAGTAAATAAATCCATTATAGTTTTTTATTTTGTTATATTTTAAAATAAATTTAACATATTAATGGTAAAAATAACAATATTTTTGAGCTTTTTTTCTTTTCTTTTTTTGCTTTTATCTTCTTGATCATTTTATTACCATGGTTTCTTATTATTACTTGTTAACCAAGATCCTTTTTGTGATTGTTGTTGTGATGATTCTTGGACTGATGTCTTTTATCCCTCTAATGAAAATTGTGCCACATAGATAATCTTCTGGACTTAAACAGAAAGGTTCTATTGTGCATTAGATGGAAGTAGCAAGGGAGAGGCTAGTGGTTTTGACGAATCAAAGATTTTCAAATCTTTGATATGTCAAATCTGTAAAAGTTTTTAAAATTATTGAACTTTTTCTTGCTAACTGCAGTATCAAAGTTGTTCTTGGTGGACAACACTTTTTTTCATTTCTTATAACTTCTAGGTCACCACAAGGCTTCATCCTTAGTTCTGTAGAAACCAATCCATTGCAAAGTTAACATCTGGTAAAATTTTTTATCTTGCTTGTCATTTTCTTACTCTTGAATCCATTTTCTGCCTCTATATGTTTATCTTACATCATTATTTTCATATTTTAGTTTGTTCTTTTAAGGAGTGTCTTTCTCTTTAATAAAAGATTTAAAGATAATAATAACAAATAAATCTGATTAACCTGCTCTAGCTGCTCAGCTTGAACCTCTGTTCCATTCTTGTAAGGTTGCATCTGTTTTTCTTTTCTTCAATTACTACCATAGTTGCAGCTCAAGCAATCTATCATCTATCAATCAAAATTCAATCTTGTCTTACTTATTATTCAGCAAAGTTACATCTTTTTACTGTTTGGTTATGCTTTAATATCTTTTTATCCAGTTTCCTTGCAAATCAATAATTAAAGTTCTTGCTTTTTTTTTTCTACAGTTTTTTATTTGCTCCAAGAAGAACACAGATCACCAGTTCTGAAGCCAGAACTTTAACCACTACACAATGGCTGACATTTGCTTTCATGTTTTCCTGACTGACAAATTATACATTTTTTTAAAATCTTTAGTCAACTGTTTTTGTGCTCTTTAATTTTTGTTTCTTTCTGTTCTTGCAATCTTACAGCTTTTTGAAAGTAATGTTGTATAAAAAATTGATTGAAATAAATATCCGTATAAATATTTTAATTTCTTTACAAATTTATTTTTTAAGAAAATAGAAGTCAGTAGTCTAAAAACTCACAATTTTCTTATTTTAGGATATTGGATCCAAGGTAAATAGTTTTACGCAACTTATGTTGAACCAGTTACTAGAGCAGCTTCGTGATAATATCCAGCTTCCTGCTTGTTTAAGAATTATAAGCTATATTAGATTGTTGGATGTTTTTTCTGAATCTGAACTCAGGCTAACATTTTTGCAAGTTGGTTAAGTTTTTTTTTTTCTTTTTTTTAATAAAAAGTGTACTTTTAAAATATAAATCTCAATAAATTATAATTTACTGACAAGTTTAATGTTTACTTACTGGAAGGATTGTTAATTTTTATTTACTTGATAAATAATAAAATAAGATTTTTTTAGAAGGTTAATAAGTAATGTTATTAAGGATTGCTATTGTTATATTAGTAAGTGATTGTTAGATAAAATTTAGAAAGTTATAAAGGATTGTTACTAAAGGATTAATAAAGTAATAAAATTAAGAGTTTCATTTAGTCAAAGTATCAACATCAACCATCAACATCAACCATCAACATCAACCAGAAATTTAAACTTATTTTTGCACAAAAAATGTATGTATGTATGTATGTATGTATGTGTGTGTGTGTATTTATTTATTAAAAGTTAATATTAAAGCAAAATAGGAACATAAACATGCCAGCCTGAAAGAAGTTACATAAGAAGCACACTTGTCAGCAGGAAGATTTCTACCCATGGCATACAGTTTGCAGTAATTGATGTTCTTTATAAAAAGAGAGAATCAATGCAAGTCAGATAGATTTAGGAAATTGAGGAAGATTTACTGGGCAACAAACATGAAAATGTAAGACCTAAAACTGAACAAAATGAATTTCATTATGGGCTAGTCATAAAAAAAGTACACAAATTGATACTAATATTTAGACCATCACCTACCAAGAACATCTTACAAAAATATATCATGATGAACTACGAGGCACAGTGGAGTAGCCTTCTGTTAATGCCTAAACAATTTTAAAAATGTAAAGAATTGTATTCAAAAAACTTTAATTGTTATTTTTCCAGTCTACCATAATTCTATTGCTCTGTCACATGATGAAGTGACAATAATATCAGAGATAATTACAACTTTATCTCTCAGTAAAGTAATGGTTGAAGCACTTTGTTGCCAAGATTATCACCTGTTTATAAGCCAACATTCTTATTTTTATAACTACTATTCCATAATTTTATGCTTACAAAGTTAAATGATGCTGACAATAACACAAGCAAAGAAATGTGTACAGCTGTGTGAACAAAGAAATGTTTTATATGCACGAACATCGAACTGATATGAGTGGACTATTGCAATACCTGTGGTTGAAGCTCTGTTAAAGTCAATAAAGAAATAGTTATGTCTTCTTTATTTAAATATCAAAATTGGTAGAATTGCTGGTTTAAATGATTTTTGCTGATTAAATGCTTCTCATCCTGCTCTAGTAAAAGAATAAGTTAAGTCTGATATGCTGAATTTGATTAAGGAACCTAAAATGGTACCTGAGTCTGTAAGTAATCTTTTAAGTATTAAAGAGGAACTTGATCGTGTTTTTAAAGAAGAACAATTACTGCTGCAACATGAGACATAGTTATCAAAAATTTAAAAAGAAATGACACAATTTAAATATAATGGTGCGCCTAATCATTATTTAGAAAGTGACAAATGTCAAAGCTGAGCAGGCAT